ATATATGTGTCAGCATGTGCATATATATCTACACACATGCACACACTGAATAATAGGTTTCTAGTCAGTTTAGTTTTAAAAACCATTAGATAAACTGCTCGTTGGGTGACTTTCAAAGCGGTGCATCTCCAAAAAGCTGCGAGACCTTCCTGCAAACTTTCTGCGTCGAATGCCCGACCACGCATTTGCCGCAGTGGAAGGGACAAACACCATGTGTGGATTCCTCCTTTTTCAGCACTACTCCAGCCTCCAGAGTTGTACAGCAAAGAAGCAAATATAAAAAAAAAAAGACAGTATGTTTCACTTTGCAGGACTGTGTAGTTACTGATGGTAACATCCTGTCCCTTCCCATATCCCCACCTGAAGATTTGATGCCAACAAGCCAGGCTGGACTGCAGTTATTTATTACCAAGAAAAAAAAAATATAGTTTCTCCTCCCAGTAGATGCACATGAAGAGCTTAAATATTAGTGGCTACTATTCAGGGGGTGGAAAAAAAAATTAAAAATAAAAAGAAAAGAAAAAACATCTTGAACAAAATGGTCCATCTTGGAAAACTGCTCTCTTTTCACTTGGCTAACATCTACTACTGCTTGAAAAACTGCAGCCAGCTTTCCTAAGAGCCGCATAAATGGTTTACAGAGAATTGGTGGAAATTGCTGCTACTGGACAATCAAAAATTGCTACCAAAAATTAAATTAAATGCCCTCTGCTCTGCAGTGCTTCCTTAGAAAGCTTTGTTGAGGCATTCACCGGGTGCATCCAATCCACTTCTGTATGACTGAAGGATATTGCCACATCAAGTCTTGGATTGTAAGTATCCTCTTCAAAGAAAAAAGATATTCTGAAGGTTGTCATCCATCTCACAGATTTACCACTGCAGTCAAGATCTGGCTTCACCAGCCACTTGATAGTTTGCCTCTGTGTCAATTCGTTGTTGCGAATCCAATAGTCGATTACCATTTAGCAGTTATGGTTTTGAAAAACAGTTCTCGATCTAGTGGTTAAAAAAAAAAAAAGGAATAATCTTAAGGTCGTAGGGTTTACATACAGCTTGTGTCATGTACCACTGCCATGGTTTAGAGTAAATGGAATGATGACCTAGTAAAAGAAAAGTGAACTCCTCCAGAGGTCTGATCCAGTCCAGAATGGCTGCTGCACAGCTCAAGACACCATCGCGTTCCAAGATGCACTTGAATTTCTCTTCTCCTGCTCAGAAACACACGTCCAAATTCAGTTGGCATACAACTATAAAGTTCCAGTTCAGATATCTGAAGCAGTTACCACAGGGTGAATTCAATCAACAAGAGGCGAGGAGAGAAAAATAAATCAGGCGCAAAGTAAAAATAAAGCAAAAGTATCTAGTGGTTGTTTTAAAAAAATAAAAAAAAAATTAAAAATAAAGACAGCAATAGTGCTAAAGAAACAGCATTTGAAGAAATTGTTTTTAAAAAAAGAACACGCGATTGGACTGAAGGGGATAGGCACATCTGGTTTTCTACTGTCTTCCCAACCTTCTTGGATATATTTCTGTCTGCAACACGGTGGACCCAACAGTTTTTGAGCTGTATTTGGTGATCAAAGCATGTGGATACGGAGCTGTCGTTATAAAGCTTACTCTCCCTGTGGGTCTCATTGTCAGAGCCACACTTGCTCGATGTGCAGAAACTCCACAAGAGGAATCATCAGGACTGTTCCTGCTTACCTTACACACCTCTCTCCAGTTTTAGAAGGGGAAAAAAATTAACTACTTCCCGTACCATTGCATTCAAAGCAGAAAGATCTTTCTTTTGTATCTGCTTAGCTTTCTAAGCAGTTGGGTAAGCTTCAGGAATACAATATAGGTTATTTATGCCAAAGAGAATATACTAGTTCAGGAGTTCATGGAGAATTGGCGAAATGATCAAGATGTTCCAAGGATAAATGATCCGTCAAACTGCGTAGACGACTAAGGTGAAGGTCAACTGGTGTCTAACCCAGTGTGACAGGCACTTATTTCCACATGGTTGGACCTCATTAAAATTCAGTCTACAGGAAAACAAAACAAAAACAAAACAGCAACACAGCTGGGTCACCTGTACCCTACAAAGTGCTTATGTCTCAACATAGCTTTCAGATCCCAGAAGGTCAATCAAACCCTGTTTGTCTCCATATGCAGTTCTCATAGATCGCCATTGCCCGTCACACCAAGGGTTGCCATCAAGCAGAAGACACGTCAGTCTTTGCAGGTGTAAACCTCTTCTCTCTGGGTACACTGCTTGCATTCCACATAGCAGCACCAGCGGACCTGGCACTGGCATGGACGGGTGACCACCCGGCTCTGTGTATTGTGCCCTCGCCCACAGCAGATGCTGTCACAGTTCTTGTCTTTGTAACATTTCCTTCCCGAAGTCCCAGGTGAGTATCTACTCATCATACAGAAGCTTGGGGAATCGTCAATGTAGACAAGATCCGTAGTCCTTGGGATTTGATCACTGTGACCAGGGATGGATTTCTTGGGTGGGGAGATGTCTCCTTCCCCCGTGGCCTCGTTGGTAGTGCTGCCCACTTTGAGTGACGTCTCATACTTTTGCTTCAGCTGCTTCCCTATTTCATGGAATGGAGAGAGCTGTCTCCAGCACGTTCGGACAGTACAGGATCCAGATACACCGTGGCATTTACAGGTTGTCTCCACTCCAGCTTTGATGACCTGCAGACACACATAGCCCCAGAAGAAAATCAGTTATGGGGGAAGAAAAGAAGGCACAGAGCAAAAATCCCCACATTTCCTAGAAGACACACCTAGGACAAAAAGTTGATGACAACCCAAAAATTATCCAGTGGAAGAGGACAGAAAACATACACTGCAGGAAATATTTATCTTAGAAGAGTCCCAGTTTCCATAAATGTGACATTTACCTGCCAGAATACTGCTTTATTGGCTAGTTAATGGTACTAGTAAAGGGTACAAAGGCTGTCCAGTGCTGGCACCCATCTATGTAGGCAGAGATCTGAACCATAGACAGTAGGAACCTTGTCCATACCACAAAATAGCAGCTCTTAAAAACAGAGTGCCATTACTTACTGGCCAAATACATGTATAACAAAGTGCATTTTCATGCAGGGTGAAGCCCAAGGCTGCCCTGGTCTCTTCTGTGCTCTCTCTTTCTCTGAAAAATTAAGATGTGAAGAAGTGGAAAACAAACCCTTGTTTGAAGGGTTCAGCAATTTCAGGTGCTTTAATGCAGTCCCCAGGATTTACTCTGCCTGTAGCACCAGCTGTAGTCAGCTTGCAAGGCTGACTTCCCACACAGGCTTTCAAGGGTAAAATCGTGAAATCTGGGTTGATGCTGCAGTGAGAAGAGTCCATCCCAGAGGGTTCAGTCCTCAGCTCATCAAGCAGCAACCTCTGGGGACTACAACAGGGCTGGTGTCTGCAGGGAGGACTAGGGGAACAGTCTTCAATTTTCAACCAGAGAGATGATGTTCAGCAGTCACTCTGCAGGAGATAAGGGGACTTGAAATTTTCAGATCAGACTCTCTGCACTAAGGGCTCCACCACTTATCCCATCATAGGCAAACAGGAGCTGCCTGATGTCAGGATGATGAACCTCAATTCCTGCCTTGATGCTTCAGCAGCTACTCGAGGTAATTGGGTCCTGAAATTGGACCAGGTAATACAGCAAGCAAGGGCACAAATGTTTACAAAGAACTTGACCCAGGGGTGGAAAAGTCACTTAGCTGTGAGAAATGGCATCACACAAGCATTTAGTGGCTGCTGCACCCAAATGTTGTCTACACAAACCACCATCTAGGGAGGAACAGGCTGCAAGGTTCAAGTCCCAAGCTAGCACAACTTCTATAAGGTATTGGCAGAACCTTCCATAACGTGTTTTCAACTATGATGGAAATGTGTATTTTATTGTCTCCACAAAAATAAAGAAAGAAATAAAGGAATCAGAGCACTTATGACGAAGATCTTCAAACTCATGGTGGAAGAGAAAGGGAAGGCATTTAAACCCTTGGAAACAGATTCTGTTCCTTCCATGTCAGGACTCTCATGTTAAACTTTGTGCCTGCTTATGCCTCTGGACTACAGCTATCAAGGGTAAGGCTTAGATTCAAATCCTTTCTTAATTACTTTTTTTTTAAATCCAAACACTTGCAGTTAGTTGTAATGAGAAATAATACTCATCTCACAGATCCCTAAAGGAGGGAAATAACTTGTTCAAGGTAACAGAAAGTGAATGTATACGCTTGATTTACTCCCAAAACAAAAGAAAGTCAGTCTCCACATAGAAAGACATCCAGGTCTTGGGGATAGCTTGCATGGGTATATCTCTCTTCAGACCACCGCAAAGTGTAAATACAGAAGGAAAAGCAGAGCCAGTGGAACCATGGTGTTCACATATGAGACGGAGGAAATGGCAAGAGAAGGTCATTTTCAATAGAAAAAGCAGCATGAGAGGGAGCAGCATTCAGGAAGGGAAGAGAAGAAAGCAAAGAGTCAATGGTTATTCAAGTTGGAAAGAGACAAATATGGTAACAGCCCCCAGGTGCTGTAAAGGACCCCATGCCCACAAGCTGACTGATGCTAAACAAAGGATCTCATTCTTTTCACTCCAATAAGGATCCTTCATGGCAAGAAAGGATTTCCATATCCTTATAAATGGCATCTAAGTGTTCTCCCCCACCTTCTCCAGAGATAGGTTTACGCTTCGGACTCCTCTATGGGCAACACAAGAGCAGAGATGTTATTTGGACGGTCCCAGATAACCTGCATTTGGTCTACAGATTGTAAACATATATTTATAGTTCTAGTTCTCCCTCCCTGCCCCTTCCCCAGAAATAGGTTACATTTTGACTTTAAATGGGTAAGGTATAACCAGTCCTTAAAATAGCAAGTTAGAACAGACTCTGTTTCATAGACCTGCCTCCTGTCAAGGTGCTACTGAAAGTGCCCTTCCTTTGGGCATCTACGGTATCTGAAAAAGGAAAAAAAAATCTCCCCCCTCCACTGCCCACTATGGCATCTGCCAACATTATGGCTTCATGACAGCAGAGGACTGGCTCTGGTCCATTTCCTGACCATCCGGTTCTTAATTATTTGGCTTCATGAGTCCTGCTGAGCACCATGTGCAAATGTGCAATAGGTCATGGACTCAGAATTGGGGTCTGGCCCAATCCTGATATTACAGAGACATTTTTAGAAAGGCACTATGCATAATACGGCCTTCAGCAAAGCCTGGCCAATGGTCACACTTCATTCCTGTGACAGCCAAGACCTTTTCAAATGCAATCCAATAATACACAGTAGCATTCAAACAAGTGACGGGTTACAGAGAGAGATGTGTTACTGCTTATAGTGCTCAGCTGGGCCAGCTTGGTTAGGGGCTGTCACGCTTTGCGTGCCAAAGTGTCTAGCCAACTCTGCAAGAAATCCCACAATGTTAGACAAGTGCATACAGAACACATTTCAACACCGAGGAAAGAAAAAAACAACGCCCTCACCCATACTTGTCCCTGATGTGAAGTCACATTTCACTGGTTGTCCAGAAGTGAGAGCTGAGTTCATGTGAAACAAAGCTCCTAGACCTGATTTCACGCCCAGACCATCAGCAAACTGGGCAAAATTGCTGAGATACTTGCAGAAGGGCTGCACACTACAGTCATTCATCAGCTCAGGCTTTTCTCAACCCTTCCACCTCTCCCAGCCCATTCGCATCTGCTCCACCTGGAAAAGGAGACTGCCACCATTTTACAGGAGATAGGAAAGCAAGAAACCAACAGGAATTGGCTCGGCTGGTAGACATGCTCTTGTGCACAGGCTTGGCTGGATTTAGAGCTAGTTGAACAAGTGATGGTCATGAAATGCAGGAGGGGAAGCTGGACAGTGTTATCAGGAACCACCTGTCCAAAGCTCAGTGTGAGAGATGGCTTGCAGGTGCAGTGTATCCAAGACATCCACATAGGGATGAAACACATTGAAAATCCAGATCCTGATGGGTTGGCAGCTACCAGGTAGCAGCAGACCTTCTGTTAGGAATAGGCATGTAGGTTTAGGCATCTGAATCACATCACCGAGCCAGGGTTGACCTCACTGAAGCAGACATTTCAGTTTAAATATCTACATTCAAGAAACACCTCTGAACTCCCACCTGACTCAGTGGAGCCAAAGCAGGCAGAGGATTTGCAGGGGAGCAGACACCTGCACATGCTTGGCTGAACAGCTCTCCAGGCTCCACCAACCATGTTGACTACATCTCCACTCACTAATGGGAGTCTAGGCTCACACGGAGGCTCCTCAGTTTAGATATCTTAACCCTTGAGCAGAATGCCACCCCCGGGACAAATCCAGGTGCCCAAATATCAGCATCAAACAGTATTTGAGGTACTGTAAAACATTGCACTTCATCACCAGCTGCCCCTTCAGAAACATAAAGGTCTCTCAAAGGGTACTGTTGTGTTATATTTAGGGAGATGTATCCCACTCTCTTTGTCTGTGCTTAACAGTGATGAACAAAACCCCTAATGAATCACAAGCTATTTTTTTCCTGACCCATTTCTAGCTCTTTGTTAAGCAGTGGCCAGGATGTCATGCACTGGTAGACCAAAGCATAAAAGGTTTCCATTGTCCCTGCTCTCATGAATGCACCAGTTCATGAAATCCAGCATGTGGCTTTTCATACGGCCACCGCACAAGTGTGGTGCATCCCAACCGCCCCATAAACCTTCTCCTTGAAGGGCCAGGGAGGGCTCAAGAATGTTATGAGGCAGCTATAGTGAAAATCCTAGAAAAATTTCTTCCCCAGACAGCCTCCCCTGCTGCTGTCAGTCACGATGCAGCTACTCAAGGCGATGTGTGATGGAGAACTGCTGCCTACGGGCCTCTCACCACCCACGAGCCAAAATGAGTCTTGGCAAAGCCCTTCTGTTTCTTGTCTCATTCTCCAGCTTCCACAAAGACCTTTCTCCTCCTGTTGTAGGCTCCTGTCAGAAAGACTTAAATCCATCTCATTCCTCCAGGAAGCAGAGCAAGACGTATCCAAGTCAGCAGGTTGCATAGACCAGGGGTGGAGAAACCTTTCCTGGCTGGGCCCTGAGACAAACAGGTAAAAGTCTACATCACTCTTTCAAGCCTGGAGGGACTTCCAGGATAGAATAAGTTATCTTTTATTACCAAAAAGTCTAGGTTACATGAGGCAGAATAAGACTTTGACACAAACTTATCGTTTTCAAGAGCCACAGATAGCTTCTGCTTTCTTTCCACGGCACATCACACAGCTCAGAACCTGAGCTGCCTCCATCCTACACAGAATTGAGCCTCTTTTGAACGCACATGGCATCACCGCTGATTTAATAAACATATTTCAACTACTCCATGGCAAGTTACCACACCACGTGCATGCTCCTATCTCGTCACAGATGTGAAGCAAGATGTGTTAGCTTAAATACAAAGCACAAAACATTTCACGCTCCCTATGGCCTAAACACCATAGCTACCACAAATCAGTAGAGCTGTAGTAATTCAGGAGTAACTGAAGTGTGTATTTGAATCCTTATTGTGTTGCATGTTGTAGAGAGCTACTATCGCAAAAGCAAAGTTGAACAAAGACAACCAATGGGTCAGGGATAGCATCACACATCAAAATTACATCCTCCCACTCTCCTCTGAACAGCCACCTGTAGTCTCACAAATAAGAGAGCAGT